AAGAGGAAATATCTTTTTAACCATTTCAGGTGATAGTACATGTTCCCTATGGCTAGGGACAGACATTTAAAAAGCACAAGCCTGAATTGATTCAATCTTTGCAGGTTAGTCTAAACTGCAGAGATTGAAGTGATTTGCAAGTAGATAGACATTCACTTTTGAATCAGGAAATGCAGGCACATGACTGCAGTTGCTCAGGCTAGAAGTCAGGGAGTGCTAAAATGAGCCCTCCCTCTCCCTTTCACAGTGCTGAGCTGAGGGTGGGGCATGGCCAGGCCCCAGCAGGACACTATGATCAGGGAGAGGTTTAAACCCCAACCCTGGCCTTCACAGTCCCCGCCAGGGTCTGCCAGGCGGGGGAGTGGGAAGCAGCTCTTACCAGGCTTTTCCCCCCTGCTCGCTGCTCAAGAGGCAGGGAGTGTTGCCCGTAGCTAGCACTTTGAGGCAAAAAGGGGTGGGGGGAGGGAGGACTGCTTGTGTGGACTGCATGCTTCTGTTGATGATACTGAGCTTTTCAGTCTCTCTCTCCTTGCTTCTTCATACTGTCTGCAGCAAACTGACGACACTCACAGGGCACATTCATTGCAAACCAGGTCATCTGAAAACTCAAGAGTGGGGGGGGCTGGACCTAATGATCTCCTGAGGTCCCTTTCAGCCCTTAACTTTAATGGCTATGAATCTGTTTCTCACACCTCTCTCTGTCCCCTGTTGAACACTGACAGATTGTGGGCTTTGAAGCAAGCAAGCCAGCAGGGAGCTTATATGAACACAAAGCTTATCAGCCCATCAAGCCCTATAAAAGAAAAGAAATGCATCTCTCATTAATTTCAAGCTCCTCATATCTGCAGGGTGCATTTGCAAGCCATTGGCTTCTAGCCCTAAACAGACACTGTTCTGTCTGCCTTTGTTGCAGTGACATTGGAGACACACACACACACACACACACACACACACACACACACACACACACACACACACACACACACACACACACACCCCCCTCAGCATTAACTGGCATGGGGGGGCATGGCCAGGTGCTGGCTAGGATCCATGCTACTGGGGTTGCTGCCATGGGAGAGAGGTGGGAGTCGGGGATCCCTGCTCGAGCAGTGAGGGGTGAGGGGAGACAGGGGTGGTGAGGGGAGACTGGCAGATGCTGCAGTCCCCCACCCACTTCTCAGCCAGCTGGAGCTGTGGCTAGAGAGGAGAGGGACGGGGTTAGCCTGGCTCTCTGGAGCAGACAGCCCAGCCCAGCCCAGGGCTGAAAAGTATGCTGAGATGTGGGGGAAATCTGATTTAACTTAAAACAAGAAAGGGCCTGGGACAGAAGTTCCATAAACCAGCTTGACCCAAATCAGTTAACTCTGATACTACATTCAACCAGTTTTATCTTAAACCAGTTTCAGCCATTTTGAAACTGGTCTGTGTGCACTGAACTTATATTCTGTTACCGATTTAAACCAGTTTCTGATCACTTAAACTGGTTTATGTGTAACTTCTGTCCCTAACCTATCGGTGTAAATAAATCAGTTCTGCAGTTAACTGCACTAAAACATTTTAACTCTTTGGACAGTCTGATAACATCAGAAACAATTAATACCTTTTATGTATCATTTGATAAAGATAATTCTAAAATGACCTGTTCAGGCATTGAAAATGATAACTGGCATAGCTGTCCAATTATTTGAACCTCTGCAAATGAAAATTTAGGTGAATTTCTTCCAAGAAGATTTTTAAAGCCAAGTATGTCTTTGGTGTCTGTTTTCACACAGCCATCACCATTTGTATACCAATCAAATATCTATTTTCAAATGGACCACTTTCTCTGAAACCATCAAAGCCCATTTTTATCCCTATAACATCTTCCACTGTATGTCCACACTTAATATCCCTGTGAATAAATTATGTTAAAAATAAAACATAATGAAAAATGTTTGATATATAATGAAACATAAAATAAAACATAAAATAAAACATAAAAAAATAAAAACATAAAATAACAAAAAATGAAAACATAAAATAAAACAGAATGAAAAATAAAACAATGAAATATGGATGTTAAATAATGTATTTAAATATTTCAGTTGTATCAGTTCTTCTGTAAATGCTTAGCATTATGATAAAGGCAAATTAATTGTTTCTTTTAAGCTATGAACTGATGGTTATAGCATGTTTTAAATTTTTGTAGAAAGTTCATTTTCTCTCAACCCTGGGACAAGCAGTCCTGAGGGGAAAGTATTTAGACATTTTGTAAATAATGATGTGTGTGTGTATTCATGCGTATGTCTTCTGTGTGTGTATATAGATATGTGCACGCGTGTGTTTGTGCATATATATCTATCTAGCTATCTAGCTATTTGCATATAACCTTTCATCCCAGATTTTCAAAACACGTTACACAGTCTGCATTCAGGAAACTCCTCTACAACAGAAGTGTTACCAACTACGAGGTAATATACAACTATTATTACATGCTGGGGACTGTGGAATAAAATAGTTTGGACTAGAAAGTAGATAAAATTTCATCCATTTAAAATTGTGGGAGAAAAATTATGTAGGAAGAACCTAGTTATTCAGATTAGAACGTGGCTAGGAAGCTGGAGTGAGCATCCCTGACTCTTGCAAAGTCTGCAGTAATTAAATATTCTGTGTTCTGAAAGACACTTTCCGCAGTTCTATGCCCACTTCAAGTTTTGCTCTGACACACTTCCTCAGTAGTGACTCAGTGGGAAGACAGTCATCTGCTGAATCACTAGCCTAACTTTCTGCTGCACCTGGTTTTTTTGTAAAGGGCTCCCTTTCAGCCCAACTCTGCTGAGCTTGTGAGAGTTAATGAGATCACAAGCTGAGATTGTATGGCTATAAACAAACGATTTTTTATTTCATCATTAGCTCTTCACTTCTTTCAGAGAGAGAGAGATGTATACTAGAAATAATAAGTATGTTACTCTGTGCTTGGTTCTTTAAAAAAATAAACTTTTTTGCCATAGTGGGGACAAGTAGAAAACTTTGATTCATACTAGCTAGAAGTCATACAAGCAATTATCTTGGAATCAATTAGACTAATCATCTAACTACTGGCCCTTAGTGATTTCTGATGGCAAACAATTCGCTGCCCCACAACCCAGTCCTCTTGCATTACCCTAAGCTGAAGTCATTCCCTTGATATGGTGACAACACAAATCTTACCATGTCACTAGATTGTTGTATTAAAAGCAGCATATTACATCTGCATCATCAAGGATCATGGAAAAGTTTGTTGGAAAAGAGAGAATTCTGATTCAAATCTGATTATCTTCACTAACTCTAAACTGAATCTTTTGTTAAGGTGAAATGAAAAATGTGGGTAAACAAGATCACAGTAATTGGAAGAAGAAAAGGGGAAAAGCAACGATCAAAAACTCCGGAAATTCAGAGTTAAGATTAACTTGAAAGAACTACAACTATTTGAATGTATAGAAAAACATTGTTAAAGTATCCAGGCTACATCACCTGTGTCGTCTTGGTGATTCCCAGGCAAATGCCCATCTTTCTATCTGTGTTTCTTTTAGAACGAAACTGGAAGTAGTGTTTATTTTCAGATTGAAGACTTTAAGCATTCCACAACCTAATTTATTTGACCTTACATTTTCCTTTTACAGCTCATTAGGTTGTTTAACAGAATTCTGTACCATGAAGCATTGGTTATAATCGTTTTCATGTTACCCCAGTAAATGCACTCACTGTGTATTTCATACATGATTCACTGATTTGCCCTTGCAGTCATAGGGTCTGAGTCTGCAAGATGCTGGCCACCTCCATCAGCACCTTACAAAAAGTAAAGCCAATAGGACAGCTGAATGTGGAGGGATGTAACTGCCTTCTGTATGCTATGTATCCGATTAGGGAACTATGTAAACTACTAGTATTTTTTTTTCTCTTTAGTGTATAGAGCACTAAAAATAAGTTGAAGTTTAATATAACCATTATATAATAAAAGTTAAAGCATTCTAGTTTTCTTGGTGAAATAAAATTTTGGTGTGGATGGGGAAGAACAGTCTTAATGTGAACCCTCTCCACATAGTAGGGTCGAGAGGAATGCCTCCTTCCACTCCACTACATGAATCCAGAAAACGTTGTTGTAATTGCCTCCTGCTCTGTTCTCAAGTTGGGATTTGGGGAATGGCAGTGTTAGATTTTTCTAACTGATGCAGTGTGTCTTGACTTACAAATATAGCTTTGTTTGAGAACCTTTAGGTATATGGAGAACTTCTCCCATTCCTACTAGGGATTCCTCCGAGTCCATCAATAGTTTTGTCCCTGCCAGATAGAAAAAAGCTTGAGACTGACTTCTTATTTTTTATTTTATTAGAACAATTTGTTTCGGACGTCACTTGGTGGTCCATTTTAAGCTCAGTAAAGCTGATAAAAAAACATTCTGATAAAACAATTTAATCTCTCAATATCTTTTAAAATTGAGGTATAATGGACTAATCTACATCAAATAAGGGAGCAAATTTTTATCCCTCCATATTATTTTTGTATAGAAGCAAAGCCCTGCTGAGCCTCTAAGCTTTAGGGTTTCTGAATTCCTAAAAAACCCTTTTCCAATTAACTTCAGATTTGATAGAAAAATGCTAACTTGGTGCTGAGTCGCCCATTTTTGGGCTAGTGTTCCTTTGTGCAGTTGTGAGGCAAAGAGGAATTCCAGTTAGGCTTATAATGGAAAGTAACCTGAATTACGAATTGGTTGCAGCCACTTTGTAGTAGTGAAATGGAGTATAGTAAAATGTTGGCAAATCGCTGACTGCTTCATAAATGTGTCACAGTATGAAAATCAGGCTGGATGGTAACTGAATAGGCAAGGTTCAGTAGGGTCAACAAGGATTTACTACTGTTTATTCTGTTTTGTAGTAAGGGTTTTGCTTTTACAATAAATCCTTTAGAAGATCAGTCACTCTCTGAATGGCAAAGCAAAGATTTAAGTTACCTCTCTTCCTTCCATTCTTTTTTTCCCACAGCAGTTTAATGACGAGCTCTTGTTCATCTGATGACATCGATCAGGAGGAAATCCAGCTTGCCTTGCAGGCTGCTAAAATTGCTACCCGAGAAAAGATAAGATCCCGATTTCATGGCAGCAATGACCTTATTCACAGGCTCTTTGTCTGCATCTCAGGTGTGAGAGCTCTCTTTGTTTGTTATAATGTAAATGTTACAAGGAAATATTTATAAGGAAATTTTATAATGAAACTCAAAATGTCCTGACAAAAGAATAAGGAGATGGCTGTATATCAGATCATAAACACCGCAAGGACTAAAAACTCTTTCTTTACCATTATGGCTTACTCAAATTTTGTTTAGTGAAATCTATGATTAATTATATTATCTTAATTTTATCACCAATATGTTTGTAAGTGTTTCCTATTTTTAACAAAAGACCATAACATTGCTTGTATCTAGAGATGAGTTTTGTAGGTTTTGCAAATAATAATGGTTTTAGCTATTTCCACAACCTGTTAGGTGTTGCTGACCAGTTGCAGACAAACTATGCCAGTGACTTGCGAAGCATCCTGAAGACCTTATTTGAAGTTATGGCAACCAAACCTGAAACAGAGGACAAGGAAAAACAAAAGAAAGGTAAAAACAGCAGCACAGATGTCCTGTACTGCCATTTTCCTTTGGTTGCTGTACACTAGTCCACAAAATAGTTGGCAGTAAATCAATTGTTGGTTTTGTTTAATAACTCTTTCTTTCTACAAGGCTGTTATTAGAGACCTAACCAAATTTGCGATTGCGCTATTTTTGTGGAAACTGCGAATTCAGGCAGGCTCCATGAAAAATGGCGGGCTGTGTGGAAAACAGCGGACTCTGTGATTTTGGTGGGCTTGCTGCAAAAAAGCAAACAAAAAACCCTTACGGGCAAGCAGAGCATCTTGCAGCACAGGGAGGAGGAGGCTTGCAGCAGCCCTGCCCTTTCCCCCTTCTGCACGCCAGGCTCCAAGACTCTCTGCTTAGTGGTAAGATTGGGGGGCAGGTATCGGTTTGTTTTGGAGGGGGGATTGCAGCGAGCATGCCAAGATCACAGAAACCACAGCTTAATTACCCTGATTGAGCATGGGAAGCTATTCATCCATGCTTAATAACACATGGATGAATGTCTTCCCCGGACCTTATCAGGGTAATTAAGGTGTGGTTTTGGGCCATGTGGCAGGGGGCAGAGGAGGCAGGACTGCTGAGGCTCCTCAGCTAATCAGAGGGATGAAGGGCCCTGCCGCACTCAGCCTGCAAAAATGGCAGCCAGCCCCTCGAAATTGGCTGGCCACCTCCTTGAGTTTGGTAGACCCCTAGCTATTATATAGTCCTTTGACCCTTGCTAAAAGGAAGTCATAGAAAAAGAATATACATGGGACTTGGTAATGGGGAAAATGTATCTATGTGTAAGAGTGCCTGGAACCATCAGCTGAAAACAATATCCTTCAGGGTACTTCTGCCCATTCCCTTCTGGGTATGAGGAATGGAGCAATCCTTTCGGTCTGTGTGGCTATATTATATTATCTAGACCTGTTGTCAGGCCTTGGGCCTGATTTCCTATCCTATTTCATGACCTTTATGGCTTTACAGGTCCTAAGGAAAATATACCTAACACATGCCGTAGGACAGTGGGTATTTTAATTTTCAAAATAAGTGATAACTCTGTGGAAAAATAACAAGCTATACAGTTACAAAAAAAAAAGCAAGTAAAGAGATGAATTTTGGCTTATCTCAATAAAAATGACAGACTAAATCAAAGAATACTGAGTATGGAAATATCTGGTTTTGAAGCACTAGCCAGTTAAGAGGAGAAAAGGAGCCAGAACTGAAGCAGGAACCAACAAAAGGATTGAGATGTTAGCAGGCTTTTCTCAATCAGCATTTGATCCTTTCCTGTCTAGAAAAGGAGGAAGCTCTGCTGAATTGCTTAAAAAGCAGTGTTAATACAATTCTTTCCTTAAAAATGTCCAACAAGATATTGAATGGCTGATTCTGCCTCTCATTATAGATTATATTATCTAGACCTGAACACCTTAAGGCAGGCAGTACTCTTGGATTTTCTCGTTGACTTCTCATAATCAGAGACTCTCCTTTTCCCCTTCTCCCTTTTTCATTTTGAAGCATTTTTAAAGCATTCAACATATTACTATTAAACTTGCATATCATCACTTTGAGGTATTTCTGTTAAATGTCTTTCACCAAGCCATAACTGAGACTGAGCATCCAACAAATAACATTGCCATCTACTTAGTACAGCTGGCATTTCCTCAACCTTTGTAGTAATGGGATCTCTGGGTATGAAGAGAGAGGCCCTACTGGACTTCTATTTTTCAAGAGGAAACAAATCATAGGGTATGTTGACATTGTCTAGCGGTTACACCCCAAAATAAGCTCCATCTTCCCACTCCTGTACTGCATGCTCCAAACCTGGAGCCAAAGTGGTGAAAATACACTGTGGATACTTTCTGCTGCTGCTTTCAAGAACTGTTTTTGGGGTGCTTGAGAGTGGCAGTAGAAAACATCTCAAATGTATCTTCACTGCCTCAGTTCTGGGTTTGGAGTATATGGTGTGGGAGTGGATGGGTAGGGCGTATTTTTTTGGCAGTGACCTCAAGGGTAGCACAGAACCAGTGTAAACATAGCTTAGTATAAGCTAAATTATGAGTGAGACAGTAAGGAGATCTACTCTGACAGTTTGCAGATATCAAGATAATATAATATATAATTATAATCAAATCATCAAAGTAGTCGAAATTAATGAGCAGAAATGTATGCAAGAGAATTTTGGGCTGAATATCAAAAATCACTTCCTGACAGTTGGTTATTTTAGATTGTTTTCTAAGACAGACTTGAGATGCCTCATCAATTGGACCAATTAAAACAAGACTGGCTGTAAAAACTATGAAATGTGTAGAGAACAGCTCCACACTGGAAGTAAGGGAGGACAAGAAGTCCTATAATACAGTGTCTTCCATTTCTAATTTGAAAGTCTGTGATGTATTAAGTGAGAAAATCCGGCCTTTTTGTAAAGTAATATTGTAAATCATGGCAAGGAAGGAGGAAAAAGAAGCTGATGGTACAAATAGAAGTTATTATAGTCTAATAAAAGACCTAACCTGAAGATTTTAAGAACAAATTGAAACATAAGAATTTAAGTACACTTTTTTTTAATGTTTTACAGTTAATCAGAGTTTAAGGAATGCAGCACTAGAAGACTGTGCTTTATGCCAGGAAACCGTATCTTCTTCAGAACTTGCAGCAAAGGCCAGAGATGGGGACTTTGAAGGTACTTGAATATTTCTGAGAATTAAAATAAGGACACACTGACTAAGGTTCCTAAGCTGCTCATTAGAGCTAAAAGAAAAGTACTATAACCTCATAAATTTGGCGCGCTTGGGACCGAGCACTTGCTGGAAATTTGAAAACGCCAGATTTTTTAAACCAGCGTGGTGGCTGGTCATAGGGAGGGGCGGGGGGAGTGGTAGCGGTGGCTGGTTCTGGAGTGGCGGCCGCACACAAAGTGGTGGCACAGGGTTGTAAATGGTAGTGGCAGCCTCCGCGTGCAAGCTTCCCCCTCCGCATCTGGGAGGGTGGGGGGCAGCGGCAGCCGGTCCTAGAGCAGCGGGGGGGGAAGTGCCGGACTTTTTGATAATTCCGGATTTTTGGTAATTGGATTTATGAGGTTATGCTGTATTTGAAAGCCTGGTTCTTTTCTGGGAAATGACCTTAAAAATGGTATCATAGGATTTTCTATACGGTCATGATATCTGATGAAGTGTTCTCACTTTCCCATCTTAACTATTTCTTCTGACAGCCCTACAAAACACTACCTGGCATCTGAAAGCTATTTCTTACAGCATATACATCTTTGTATCAGAACAGAACAACATTGCATGTGGTGAATACATAACTATTGTTATATATCATATGGGGTCATGTCTGAACAGGAGGTAAACCACAACTGAGTTACGTAAATCATCCCAAAGTAATACCAACAGACACTTTGGTACCAGACCATCTTGTTGTCTTTTAAATGCCACTTATTTTTGAAAACTCTCAAACATTTTTTCTGAAAAAATTGTTTATATAACACTGTTAATACTATTTTACACTATATTCAATATTTAAACCCAATATAAACCGTAGACCCATCAGTGAACCTGTGCTGGCTAGGGAGAGAACATTCTAAATGATCAATATTAGGCAATTTTGAGGACTTTTTATATTTATATTTTTATATATTTTTATATTTTAAAGTCTGATATCTCGGGGCTAAAAGCAGATGACTATTGGAAGGATGACAGTTCCCATATTTCCAATTATATTCAAGCAATTAATTTTCAAAAGCAATTTTCAATAGTCATTTTTGGGTGCCTCAGTTTTTTTCTGAAAATACAAGTCCCTATTTTCAGCAGCAATGGGCCATGAAATCAGACCATAAACTTGGTAGGGGTCCTGCAATGAAAATGCCCTGTTCTGGGCTGTGGGCCAGCCTAATTCATAATGTACAACCAGAACATGTTAAGTTCTGGAAAGAAACATAAAAGCAACTCAGGTCATTGGAATGTTAGAGAAAGCATCACAGGAGATGATTTAATAGGCAAGTGCAGATGATTGTCAAAGGTAAATGGTAAGCACATATATTAATTAAATCTCAGCACATCTGTGGTAGGGGGACAGGTCAGAGAACAGTGTGTGCTGTTAGAAATGGAACAACATCTCATAATTCTTGTCCTGGGAGCTCAGACGTTCTTGTTGTTATTTATCTAGATTGCAGTAGTATCTTGAATTCCTAGTCCTTGGCTAGGACTCTGCGTGGTTGGCAATACAGAATCACAGAACAAAAACAATTCTGCCCCAAATGCTTACAATCTAAGTATGATACAGATGGAGGAGAGCAAGGAAACAATGAGGAAGCATGGATCAGCATGACAAGCAGTAATATCAGTACACTAGGAGCCTAACTGTCGTTGAAATATGTTCTATCTACAGTTTTCGTTTAGATATCTTCATAATGAAAAGGATGGGACCAGATTCAAAGTCCGAATATTAATATTCCCTGAAACTCAGTGGTGTGCAAATTTGCCTCACTCTGAGGTTCATGTCTTTGTTTAATATGGAAGCATGTTTTTAAGCACTTTCTTAGTATCTGCTAAAAATGCTGCGTCCTGCATGGTGTATCACTTGGTGAGTGGAGTGGATCTTCTAAGACCTTTTAAGGCCAAGCAGAACCAGTGATTCATGTTGGGACCTTGGGTGAGTAATATGACATCTCATCTTCACCTTTGGCTCTACTGGAAGCCAGAGTCTACAGCCCCAGACAGAACACCATGCTAATATGGCTGAACTGGTTGTAGTACCCAAGTTAGCTCATTCAGAAACAGCTAAGGTATCTGCACAGCACAGCATTGTACTATGCGGGCTTGCCCTGTTAGACAAGCCAGAAAGATATGGTTCAAGTTATATCAAAGGAGTGAGGTTGTTTCATCCATCTTAGGGGTTTGTATGTGCTACCACAGAAGTAACTCAGGGCTTATATATCATTTAGTGCTTGCTGTGCCATGCTGCATATGATGTTTTTCATGTTCAAAGGCACGTAAACCTTGAAAATTAATGGTCACAGTGCCATTGCGAGGCAGGTAGATAAGCATTCATACCCTCCTTTTAATAGATGGTGAAAATAAGACAGCTTAAAATATGGGTTTAGATCAATAGTTCTCAACTTTTTTGAATCAAGGCACCCTTGGAAAATTTCAGCTTTCACTCTTTTATATTGCCGTAGTAAAAAATAAACAAACAAAAAAACAAAGCGAGAGAGAGAATCCTTCTGTAGCAAAGAACTCAGAAAGACCGCAGCACGTCAGAGTGGTTTTCGTAGAATCATAGGAAGTTAGGGTGGGAAGGGACCTCAGGAGGTCATCTAGTCTAACCCCCTGCTCAAAGCAGGACCGTCCCCAACTAGATCATCCCAACCAAGCTTTTGTCTAGCCAAGATTTTAAAACCTCCAAAGGTGGAGAGTCCACAACCTCTCTAGGTAACCCATTCCAGTGTTTTACTACCCTCCTAGTGAGAGAGTTTTTCCTAATATGTAGCCTAAACTTCCCTTGCTGCAACTTGAGACCATTGCTCCTTGTTCTGTCATCTGCCATCACTGAGACAAGTTTATCTCCATTCTCTTTAGAATCACCCTTCATGTAGTTGAAAGCTGCTATTAAATTTCCTCTTAGTCTTCTCTTCTCTAGACTAAATAAGCTCAGTTCCCTTAGTCTTTCCTCATGTATCAATTCCCCAAATCCCCAAACCATTTTTGTTTGCTTTCACAGGACTCTCCAATTTGTCCACATCTTTTCTGTAGTGGGAGGCCCAAAAGTGGACGCAGTACTCCAGATGTGGCCTTACCAGTGCGAAGTAGAGGTGAATAATAGGGCTATGTGGAATGGCTGTTTCGATTAGGTTTTGGATTCAGCCATTTCAGAGGACAGTGATTAGTTTCAGTGTTTTGGATCGCTGTTCTGTTTCGTTTAGGCTGAATCTGTTTTGAACAGGCTGCAAGGGAAGCTTTGCACAGCCCTACTTCCCAGCCAGGCAGGGCTTGGGGCCGGGGGTTCCCGGGCCCCAGCAGGGAGCAGGACGGGGCCGTGGGTGGCTTCTCTGGAGGAGGAAGGGGAGGGACCACTGCCCTCCATGCAGGCAAGGAGACCCCTGCATGGATCTGATTCCTGTCACACCGGGTCGCAGGGCAGGGAAGCAGTGCAGGGTGGTGAGCAAGCCCACTGGTCCCTGCTGCACAACCTGGCTCTGCAGGCAGCAGAGATCTGGGGCTGCACAGGGTGGGGAGGGAGACCCCAGTGCAGATCTCTGCTCCCTGCAGAGCCAGGTCATGTGGCAGAGATTCCACTGCCTAGGCCCCAGTTCAATTCCCTAGGCCCCAGTTTGATTCCCCAGCTCTCTGATCATTCCCCCAGCTCTTCCCAGGGGGGTGCAGGCCCCCAGATCTGCGTGCCGGGTTTCAGCAGGCTGGGTCAGGGGCAGCACCGCAGTCTTCCCGATGCTCGGCATAGGCTGTGCTGAGTGGCTGCTGCTGGCCCCAGCCTGCAGCAGCAGCCTGCTGAAACCCTGCATGTAGATCAGGGTCCCGCACCCCACGGGAGGATCTGGAGAAGCGATCAGAGAGCTGGGGAATCGAACCATGAGCTAGATGTCAATATCAGAGCAGTCCTTTCCCCTCCCCCTTTCCCTTCCCCCTCTTCTTAGTTTTTATTTCTCTGCAAGCCCAGTTCCAAAACTCTGAAATTCTCCTAAACATTTCCAAAACGTTTGGAAGCCTTCCGTTTCAATTTGGATTCGGTGTTTCAGGTGCCGAAATTTCCCGAAACACCTCCAAAACAAAACGGCTGCTGAAATTTTGCACAGCCCTAGAGAATAATCACTTCCCTTGATCTGCTGGCAACACTTCTACTAATGTAACCCAGTATACCATTAGCCTTCTTCGCAACAAAGGCACTGTTGGCTCATATTCAGTGTATTGTTCACTGTAACCCCCAGGTCTTTTTCTGCAGAGCTGCTGCTTAGCCAGTCAGCCCCAAGCCTGCACTGGTGCATGGGATTGTTCTGTCCGAAGTGCAAGACTTGGCACTTCTCTGCATTGAACTTCATAAGATTTCTTTTGGTCTTCATAAGATTTCCAACTTGTTGAGGTCTCTCTCTGAATCGTAGCCCTACCCTCTAGCATATCTGCTAATCCCGCCAGTTTGGTGTCATCTGCAAACGTGCTGAAGTTGCACTCTGTGCCATCTTCCAGGTCATTGATGAAGATATTAAACAAACCCAGCCCCAGGACTGACCCCTGGGGCACTCCACTTGATACTGGATGCTAACTAGACATCAAGCCAACTACCCTCTGAGTGCAATGATCCAGCCATTTTTGTATCCATCTTACAGTCCATTCATCCAACCCATACTTCCTTAGCTTGCTTGCAAGAATGTTATGGGAGACTAAAGTCTCAAGGTATGTCACATCCACTGGTCTCCCTGCATCCATAGAACCAGTCATCTTATCATAGAAGGCAATCGGGTTGGTCAGGCATGACTTGCCCTCGGTGAAACGATGCTGACTACTTGTAATCACCACCTTCTCCTCCAAGTGCTTTAGAAATGGATTCCTTGAGGACCTGCTCCAGTTTTGACACTATGGATTCCTATTTGAAATCTCTGGGTTTATCTGATGAATCATCAGTAGGTGTTTGCATACTTACCAGTGCTAATATTGAGTAGCATGCCATGGT